GGTAACTATTTACATGCTTTTCGTCTTATCTCTGATCTGTATCGCGAAAGTAGACTGTATTATATGTCTACACTTACGTGTAGACTTACGATGCAATCTACTTGTCAACGCACAGGTTACTTTTGCAATTGACCAAAATAATTTTTTTTTGTAATGTAGACCTACAAGTACGTCAACGTCTTTACCTTTGAAACCAAAAACAAAAAAATTGGTAGACTTACTAAGAAATCTACATAAAAGAGGTTAGATTTGCATTTGACCAAAATTTTGACCTACCATTGTAGACTTTCTTGGAAGTCTACACTTTGTAGACTGCTAGGTAAGTCTACGGAAGGTCAGTTTTGCATTTGACCAAAACTTTGACTTCGTTGAATAGGTTTCTTTTGTATTTGACTAAAATATTTAGAAGCTGACTAAAACTTAGTTTACGTGTAGACTTCATATGCAGTCTACAAAACTTAGGAAAAAAAAGTAGACTGCATATGAAGTCTACTATTTTATGTTGGTCAATTGCAAAACTAACCTCTCGGGTTATAATGTAGACTTTTACTGCAGTCTATAGTTACGTAGACATTTAGTTTTGTCTACTAGTAGAAAGTCAACTTTGGTCAATTGCAAAACTAACCTCTTTCAAACAAATTTAAAAATGTAGACTGCATAGAAAGTCTACTTCTAAAAGTCAAACTCTGAACGAATTCTGGTCAATTGCAAAACTAACCTTTTTAAAAATGTAGACTAAAAAGTAAGTCTACTCGTATAAAATCACATCTTTTTTTCAAATACAGAAAGTAACCCGTGAATTTGGAAATTGCAAAAACCAACCTAAACGTAGACCTAATTTGCAGTCTACAAAATGTAAACTGAATAAAATGTCTACCCGTCTGTAGACTGAATATGTAGTCTACCTTGTAAAATCTATCAAAAGTGGATATGTGTATTATTCATTAAGTTTTTTCAAAACTTTTTTTTATGAAAGTGTGTGTTAGTTAATAATAAGCGTCTTGAATGATTTTCAGAAGATAATCTGTTATAATTAGGAAGTTATCAAATTTTTTGTTTGTCTATGTTGTTAGCTTAAAATTTGTAGACGTACTTGTAAGTCTATGATATAATTTGTAAGTCTATGATATAATTTTATCAAACATGAAATTTTTGTTTGCTAATTATGTAAACCGTTTTTTTTTTTTTTTTTTGCAGGAGATGGCTCAATTACTCGTTGTATACAGAGAATGGGTGGTGAAAAACTCTAGATGTGTTAGTGTTATGTGTTGAACTTATGAGTTGTCTTATTGCTATGGATGTTCTATTATGTATTAGTGTCTCATTGCTTTGAGTTGTCTTCTATTGGATTTGTAGGTCTTTAGTGTGTGTTGAACTTATAAACTATATTGTTGCTTTGGATGTTGTCTAATGTGATAGACTTGTGTTATATTTTTCTCTGTCAAGTAGACTTCTTTGTAAGTCTACAAGAAAGAATACTAATAAGTAACAAGCATGAGTGTTGCTGGCTTCTGATTTTTGTAACCAGCATGAGTGTTGCTTGTAGAAAGCTATGTATACACATCAAATGTAATGAAGATTACCTAATTTGGTCTTATCATATTCTATTCAATAACCAATCAAGCTATTTGAATCTAGTGGATTCATCAATCATTCACATGTGACTTGTTTAATTCCAAAACAAAAGGGGATGTAAGTGTACAAAGAGAACAAACCAAAGACCAAACTAATTAAAATTACATGTTTTGGATGCATGTGTATGTTCATGTCTCTTGAATTCAAGAAACGTTGCTCTTGCACAGTCTCCAAGCCTCCTCATCACTTCTCTGTACTCAGTTCTAACCGTTGAACCAAGTTGATCCAAGAAGAGTGCATCGATCTCTGGTAAAAGCTCAGATACTAACTCATACATTTCAAGAATCCTAAGCAACTTCTCAGGTTGCCGTGGACCAAGAGACACAGCTTCACCGAAGTTAAGTAACCGCATCACAGCAGCCTTCACTGTATCGACAAAACATGTTAAACCAAACTCGTTTACTTCCCCAAAGATCTGACCGAAACGAACCGTGTT